AAGTGGGTTGTAGTGGTTAGTTGTCTCGAAGTGGGTAGTTGTCTCGAAGTGGGTAGTAGTGGTTAGTTGTCCCGAAGTGGGTAGTTGTCCCGAAGTGGGTAGTTGTGGTGGGTAGGTTAGTTGTCCCGAAGTGGTAGTATTGAAGTGGTTAGTAGTGGTCTCGAAGTGGTTAGTTGTGTTAGTTGTCCCGAAGTGGGTAGTTGTTCCGAAGTGGGTAGTAGTGGTTAGTTTTCTCGAAGTGAGTAGTAGTGATCAGTTGTCTCGAAGTGGGTAGTTGTCTCGAAGTGGGTAGTTGTCTCGAAGTGGGAAGTAGTGGTTAGTTGTCCCGAAGTGGGTAGTAGTATTGAAGTGGGTAGTAGTGGTTAGTTGTCCCGAGGTGGGTAGTTGCCTCGAAGTGGGTATTAGTGATTAGTTGTCCCGAAGTGGGTTGTAGGGATTAGTTGTCCCAAAGTGGGTAGTTGTTCCGAAGTGGGTAGTAGTGGTTAGCTTTATCGAAGTGGGTAATAATGATCAGTTGTCTCGAAGTGGGTAGTTGTCTCGAAGTGGGTAGTAGTGGTTAGTTGTCCCGAAGTGGGTAGTAGTATTGAAGTGGGTAGTAGTGGTTAGTTGTCCCGAGGTGGTTAGTTGCCTCGAAGTGGGTAGTAGTGGTTAGTTTTCTCGAAGTGGGTAGTAGTAGTGATTAGTTGTCCCGAAGTGGGTAGTTGCCTCGAAGTGGGTAGTAGTGATTAGTTGCCTCGAAGTGAGTAGTAGTGATCAGTTGTCTCGAAGTGGGTAGTTGTCTCGAAGTGGGTAGTAGTGGTTAGTTGTCCCGAAGTGGGTAGTAGTATTGAAGTGGTTAGTAGTGGGTAGTTGTCTCGAAGTGGTTAGTTGTCTCGCAGTGGGTAGTAGTGATTAGTTGTCCCGAGGTGGGTAGTAGGGTGATCAAAGTGGGTAGTAGTGAAGTGGGTAGTAGTATTGAAGTTGTCTCGAAGTGGTTAGTTGTCTCGAAGTGGGTAGTTGTCTCGAAGTGGGTAGTAGTGGTTAGTTGTCCCGAAGTGGGTAGTTGTCTCGAAGTGGGTAGTTGTCTCGAAGTGGGTAGTAGTGGTTAGTTGTCCCGAAGTGGGTAGTTGTCCCGAAGTGGGTAGTAGTATTGAAGTGGGTAGTAGTGGTTAGTTGTCCCGAGGTGGTTAGTTGCCTCGAAGTGGGTAGTAGTGGTTAGTTTTCTCGAAGTGGGTAGTAGTGATCAGTTGTCTCGAAGTGGGTAGTTGTCTCGAAGTGGGTAGTAGTGGTTAGTTGTCCCGAAGTGGGTAGTAGTATTGAAGTGGGTAGTAGTGGGTAGTTGTCCCGAGTTGGGTTGTAGTGATTAGTTGTCCCGAAGTGGGTAGTAGTATTGAAGTGGGTAGTAGTGGTTAGTTGTCTCAAAGTGGTTAGCAGTCTCGAAATGGGTAGTATTGGTTTGTTGTCTCGAAGTGGGTTGTTGTCTCGAAGTGGGTAGTAGTGGTTAGTTTTCTCGAAGTGGGTAGTAGTGATCAGTTGTCTCGAAGTTGGTAGTTGTCTCGAAGTGGGAAGTAGTGGTTAGTTGTCCCGAAGTGGGTAGTAGTATTGAAGTGGGTAGTAGTGGTTAGTTGTCCCGAGGTGGGTAGTTGCCTCGAAGTGGGTATTAGTGATTCGTTGTCCCGAAGTGGGTAGTTGTCTCGAAATGGGTAGTAGTGGTTAGTTTTCTCGAAGTGGGTAGTAGTGATCAGTTGTCTCGAAGTGGGTAGTAGTATTGAAGTGGGTAGTAGTGGTTAGTTGTCTCAAAGTGGTTAGCAGTCTCAAAATGGGTAGTATTGGTTTGTTGTCTCGAAGTGGGTTGTTGTCTCGAAGTGGGTAGTAGTGGTTAGTTGTCCCGAAGTGGGTAGTAATGGTTAGTTGTCAAGACGTGTGTAGTATTGGTTGGTTGTCTTGAACTGGGTAGTAGTGGGTAGTTGTTTCGAAGTTGGTAGTAGTGGTTAGTTGTCCCGGAGTGGGTAGTAGTGGGTAGTTGTCTCGAAGTGGGTAGTAGTCTTGAAGTAGATAGTAGTGGGTAGTTGTCTCAAAATTGGCAGTTGTCCCGAAGTGGATAGTAGTATTGAAGTCGGAAGAAGTGGGTAGTTGTCTCGAAGTGGTTAGTTGTCTCGCAGTGGGTAGTAGTGATTAGTTGTCCCGAGGTGGGTAGTTGTCTCGAAGTGGGTAGTTGTCTCGAAGTGGTTAGTTGTCTCGAAGTGGGTAGTAGTGGGTAGTTGTCTCGAAGTTGGTAATAGTGGGTAGTTTTCTCGAAGTGGGTAGTAGAGGGTAGTTGTCTCGAAGTTGGTAATAGTGGGTAGTTGTCTCGAAGTGGGTAGTATTGGGTAGTTGTTTCGAAGTTGGTAGTAGTGGGTAGTTGTCTCGAAGTTGGTAGTAGTGGGTAGTTGTCTCGGAGTAGATAGAAGTGGGTAGTTGTCTTGTATTAGCAGTAGTTGAAGAAAATGATGTGGAAAAGTGATGTGGGAAACAATCCTAAAGAAAACAAAATTGACGTACGTAATGTACGTATTTATATCGACTCTATTGACACATGAGCTCTTCAGCTTGAAAATGATATAGTCAGAATATTTGTTTTACCAATGTACGCTCAACTTTACCTTAAATATCTGTTCAGCACCAGCTTGCATTATCTCATTAAATATTTTTGTGTAACAGCCATTATCACCTTTAATATCTAATGTATATTGACACCACATTACTTATTTGTATGAGATGATGGTTTGGGTTATCAATTATTATTATTATTATTATTATTATTATCACAGTCTTAACGGCCCGTCAACACATAAAAGGTCTTTAGGGCCATCAAACGGTAAAACACACAACGATCCAAAAGGAAATTACATTAAACAAACCAAAAGGTAAAAGACAAATGTTCAAAATCTAAAATGGGTATGTTAACACAAAAGATTAAAATGCTATGTCATAGTCTATTATATAAACCAACATTTTTCCTGTAATGCAGAATTTAACAAATCCCAAAAGTTTCAAAAAGGGATTTTAGACATGTAATGTTACGATAAAAATATTCTCGAGTAGACAGAAGGTCAATGCAGTCCTTTAAAAAATGTTTAACGGTGAATGGCTCATCACATCCTATGCACAAAGGATTATCTTCGCCTTTCAACATATATGAATGTGTAAGGTATGTATGACGGGCAAGGACAACTTCGTCTCGGTGGTTGTCTCTATAGCCTGGAGACCATTCACCGGATTTAACGGAGTGCAATTTGTTATTGGTATAGGTATCCATTCCTCCTGCCACTGAGCTTTTAAAATTTGTTTAATAAATGGTTTAAAATCGGTAAAATGAAGTTTAAAAACAACAGGTGGTAGCGATAAAGCTTCCTTTGCGGCACGATCTGCTTTTTCATTGCCTGGTATTCCCATGTGCCCAGGAACCCAGCAAATAGCAATACGAAAGTTAAAGACAAGTTCATGATATAGTATTAAGGTATTACGAATGAAAATATTAAACATTTTAATTAACTATAATGAAAGATAGAAATATGAACAGTTGCTAATGATGTCAATACTTTTACTTGGTAATTTTCAGAATAATGAAAACAAATACAAAGGATTAATATATATGGTAATGTAATTATTAGGCGGTCTGGACTTTCGTGGCTAGTCGATTTGGTGCCGTAGATCGTAATCGTTAATTGTGTGACAGTCATTAGGAGCCGTCTCCATCGAAAAACGTCAGTGTTGGAAAAATAAGCGTCATATGTCTAATAGTAAGGAGATAATGAGGAATCTAAACGTAGAATCGTTTCAGTTAAGTGATACGGGAGACAACTCTAACCATAAGGTGTACGTACACATGTAGCATACTGACTTAAGTAGGTTGACGAAGCTTTACCTGTTTGGTCCGAGATGACTGTCATATAGAGTATCGTGCCAGGACATATTGGCATTGTTCCCAGAATGAAGTGATCACACCTGGATACGCAACCTATCTATAATATTGACATGGAAGGGATTAAAGTAAAACATAGCACAGACAATAATGCAGGTGTATTGTATTCTCTCTCTCTCTCTCTCTCTCTCTCTCTCTCTCTCTCTCTCTCTCTCTCTCTCTCTCTCTCTCTCTCTCTCTCTCTCTCTCTCTCTCTCTCTCTCTCTCTCTCTCTCCCCTATACCCCCTCTCCCTACCGACTTCCCTCCACAACACACCTCCCTCCTCAACCTCTCCCATTTTGCTTCTTACTACTGTGTGTGTATAAATGTATTGTGAATTAGCACGGTATAAAATATTGTTATGTGTTTTAAGTGTATAATAACACAAGGATGACATGTTCAATATTATCATGGGAAACAGTAGTACCACGCCCAACAGGTTGTGTACGTACGGTAATAATATGGCCTCCTACATGTTTACGTGTGTACGTGTGTGGACAGTATTAATTATCGTGTGGACTGGGGTACAGTGTGTACATATGTTCATTTAAAGGTCTATATAGACACACATAACAAAGATCGATATCTTCCCGGGTGTAGTCGGCCTTTCTTTATGTCGATCCCATCAAGTTTGGACAGGCTACTGTTCGGCTGTGTTTTAGTGGTATTATCACAGACTGACGGGAAGGTAAACAATTACTGAGGGCCAAAATGGAGACTGGTTGGTGGTTCCAGAACTAAGAACAACGTTCACAGACAATTCCAGATTCACTACAGATTCAGTGCTACCAGGTATTTCGGAAGTATCGTAAAAGGATTAGCTGGGATTACGTCTTAACTTTTTGCTTCGCTGTGTGATTTCATTGAAAGTTAACAAGTGGATTTTAACACTGAGTATATCACTCCTGAATGTAACATTTAAACGAGTGTGTAATTTAAATACACAGAACAGCCGCACGTCCCGAGTCGTATGCAGAGTAATACCGTCCATATATACCTATAGTTTGACTTTCCTGATATCGTTGACCTTTAGCTGTAATATCGAATAATGAGCTGACGTCTCGACAGAATCAATAATGGATTTCTCTAAGTTTCGCGAATCTGGAGACCTCTCGGACATTACCGTGATAACGGGAGGCACGGAGTTCCGATTACATAGGTTTCCACTCTATGCCAAGTCCGAGTATTTTGTCAAGGTAAGTCGAGCATCCCCGGGCGACAGCAACAGGGTGGAGTTACTCGACTTCCCCGGGGGAGCGGACATATTCGGAATAGTGGCAGACTTTTGTTACAACATGAAGGTTGACATGACCAAGAATAACATCGTACAAATCCGATGTGCCGCGGAATATCTTCAGATGTCGGGGACTGGGAATCTCATTGAGATAAGCGATAAATTCTTACATGACACTATCACTTCTGGTAAACTCAGTCGTTCCACAGGGGCCATAACTTCCCTGCTGCTGTACTGCGTCACTATCGGTCCATTAGCAGAAGTGGCTGGAATAGTTGAGGCATGCTCGGATGCCATGGTGGAGTCATGGCTCAAACCACCCACAAAGTTTACAGATCCGAGTAACTTTAAGAAGCAGGGAAGCTCAGTTGATAAACGTGACGACAAGACAATGAAGGGTCTCTGTAATTTGCCACTGGATTGGTTCGTCAAACTGCTGACGTCAGCCAGAGACAGTGGCGTGCGTCCGAGTCTTCTTGCCGACATGGCAACCCGTTACATCACTTTGGTGTTGGATAGAGACGAAAGCGAAAAGAGTATACAAGATGCTGGATCAAAACCAGGAAAAGAAAACACTGAAAAGTCACCTAGTAAGGCAGATCCAGTCAAAATCACGAAGAAAATAGATACAGGGCACGTGTTAGATGCTGTTATAATGGAACTTCCGGAAGATTCGTTTTCTGATGACGTCATGACAATTGACTGGATCACAAGGACTTTTAAGATGGCGACATTGCGTGGTTGTCGTTGCAGAAGACCTTTGGTAAAAGCGGCGGGAGAAATAATGAATAAACTTGCACCGGATGACCTATGTATCATATCACCTTCCTTGTTACGTGACATCGTACAGGAGTCATGTAATGACGAGGGGGAGGCCGAAAGGGCATGTAGAATCATAGACACTTACATGACAGAGATGGTGAGGAAAGGAGTACTGACGGGTGAAACGTTCCGACTTCTGGCATCAGCAGCTCCAGGTGAAGCACGCAAGAGTCACGACCAACTTTATGGCATACTTGAGTATGTTCTTATAGCAGGTAAATATGTATTGCGGTTACTACTTTTTATCAAATTAGCATAACTGAGACCAACTAGTACCACAAGTGGTGGTCGGGTCACGCAGTGGTAACGCACTCGCCTTTCACCTAGCCGACCGGGGTTCGATTCCCGGAACGGACATGAAAAGGTAAGGGGTCACCTGCCCAACTACGTGGGTTTTCCCCGGGTACTCCGGTTTCCTCCCACAATAAGACCCCTCGCGCGCTTACATCCGGGCCAACAAGAGTGATCAGTATAAGTTGACATAACTTGTTTCGCAATTGTTATAAAAGTTTATATATACCAAAAGTGGTACTACAATCACTTCTTGTGTCCAGACGATTCTGTTAACGTTGTTTCATTTTCTCTGATAAATGATCCCGTAAAGATAATAATTTTAGCAGCATTATAATTGCTTAGATTATGATGAACCAAAACGACCTCTAATCAATATTATATAGCATCAAACTGCCATGTGACACCTTAAAGACACGATCGTCTTGTAAGTTACTTTGATGTTAAACTGTCGTGGAAGGCCCTTTATGCCAATTGTCGGGGCGAAATTGCCGTGTCAAACTACTCTGTAATGCACGTCATTGTCAAACTACGGCGTAGAAACATTGTCTAATAGCCATGCAAGACACCAAGATGCCTTAATACATATACTGTAGTTAAATAAAGTCATCCCGAACATTAGTACAGTGTTACATACATTGTGTGTAAACATCAAGTGTCGTATCTATTGACTCTCTTTCAATAATCAGTAACGTAACCATATGTTATTAAGTACCAAAAATACATCGTTCGCAGTACTGTCTGCATCAATACAGTAAAACAGGACAGAGGCCAACCAAAGCTATCGAAATACTGTGATGCGTGATTATCACAAAACATCATTTTCATTTTTATATTGATAATCCAACATTGATCTGAACAAATTCCTGTGTTTCTGCTTAGGCATGCGCAGACGATACATATGCACACTATTGATCGAATCCCGGTATATAAAACAAACGTCAGATGTTACCTGTAACATGTAATATACTCTTCTATAGTAGTACATTGGTTTGCCTTAATTTCCTGAAAATTGTACATTATCGATTAACTTAGAACTCCATAAAACTTGAGAATGATATTTTTGCGGATTTTTTTTTTTTTTCAAACCAAACCAAGATGACTCTAATATCCTGCAGTCTCGTCATCCAGCTGCTCGATCACTTCGTAATACAATAGGTGCAACGTGTGTGCAGACAACAATACAGTTGAGATGTATGGTGACTGGTTAGGGTCATGTCGTAATCTGCCAATCTCGCTCTGTCGACCTAAAGTTGATCGAGCGAGATCATGACGGCAACAGACCGAGATCGCGAGAGCGACATGCAAAATCTAATCTCGCTCTATCGACCTCAAGGCGTCAGAGCGAGATTGCAATGTTGAAAAAATGGCCCTTACCAGCAACCGTACTTAACTAACCAATCACATCAGAGATTCCATGCGATCGTCCGGCTAGTCCGAATGTACTTGATATCTAACTGCGATGTTACGGTCTTCACAAAAAGACAAAAAAAGAACATCGCCGATATACAGTCAGGAATCTTCGGACTAGATAATCAGGACCCTTCAGACTAGATAGTCAGGACCCTTCAGACTAGATAGTCAGGACCCTTTAGACTAGATAGTCAGGACCCTTCAGACTAGATAGTCAGGACCCTTCAGACTAGATAGTCAGGACCCTTTAGACTAGATAGCAATCTTCGGACTAGATAATCAGGACCCTTCAGACTAGATAGCAATCTTCGGACTAGATAATCAGGACCCTTCAGACTAGATAGCAATCTTCGGACTAGATAGCAATCTTCGGACAAGATAGTCAGGACCCTTCAGACTAGATAGCAATCTTCGGACTAGATAATCAGGACCCTTCAGACTAGATAGTCAGGACCCTTCAGACTAGATAGTCAGGACCCTCTTAGCAATCTTCGGACTAGATAATCAGGACCCTTCAGACTAGATAGCAATCTTCGGACTAGATAATCAGGACCCTTCAGACTAGATAGCAATCTTCGGACAAGATAGTCAGGACCCTTCAGACTAGATAGTAATCTTCGGACTAGATAGCAATCTTCGGACTAGATAGTCAGGACCCTTCAGACTAGATAGCAATCTTCGGACTAGATAATCAGGACCCTTCAGACTAGATAGCAATCTTCGGACTAGATAGTAATCTTCGGACTAGATAGTCAGGACCCTTCAGACTAGATAGTAATCTTCGGACTAGATAGTCAGGACCCTTCAGACTAGATAGCAATCTTCGGACTAGATAGTCAGGACCCTTCAGACTAGATAGTAATCTTCGGACTAGATAGCAATCTTCGGACTAGATAGTCAGGACCCTTCAGACTAGATAGCAATCTTCGGACTAGATAGCAATCTTCGGACTAGATAGTCAGGACCCTTCAGACTAGATAGCAATCTTCGGACTAGATAATCAGGACCCTTCAGACTAGATAGCAATCTTCGGACTAGATAGTCAGGACCCTTCAGACTAGATAGCAGTCTTCGGACTAGATAGTCAGGACCCTTCAGACTAGATAGCAATCTTCGGACTAGATAATCAGGACCCTTCAGATAGTAATCTAGATAGCAATCTTCGGACTAGATAATCAGGACCCTTCAGACTAGATAGCAATCTTCGGACTAGATAATCAGGACCCTTCAGACTAGATAGCAATCTTCGGACTAGATAATCAGGACCCTTCAGACTAGATAGCAATCTTCGGACTAGATAGTCAGGACCCTTCAGACTAGATAGTAATCTTCGGACTAGATAGCAATCTTCGGACTAGATAGCAATCTTCGGACAAGATAGTCAGGACCCTTCAGACTAGATAGCAATCTTCGGACTAGATAGCAATCTTCGGACTAGATAGCAATCTTCGGACTAGATAATCAGGACCCTTCAGACTAGATAACAATCTTCGGACTAGATAGTAATCTTCGGACTAGATAGTCAGGACCCTTCAGACTAGATAGTAATCTTCGGACTAGATAGTCAGGACCCTTCAGACTAGATAGCAATCTTCGGACTAGATAGTCAGGACCCTTCAGACTAGATAGTCAGGACCCTTCAGACTAGATAGTCAGGACCCTTCAGACTAGATAGCAATCTTCGGACTAGATAGCAATCTTCGGACTAGATAGTCATCCTTCAGACTAGATAGCAATCTTCGGACTAGATAGTCAGGACCCTTCAGACTAGATAGTAATCTTCGGACTAGTTAGCAGGACCCTTCGGACTAGATAGCAATCTTCGGACTAGATAGCAATCTTCGGACTAGATAGCAATCTTCGGACTAGATAATCAGGACCCTTTAGACTAGATAGCAATCTTCGGAGTCAGGACTTCGGACTAGATAGTCAGGATCCTTCGGACTAGACTAGATAGGACCCTTCAGACTAGATAGCAATCTTCGGACTAGATAGTCAGGACCCTTCAGACTAGATAGAAATCTTCGGACTAGATAGTCAGGACCCTTCAGACTAGATAGTAATCTTCGGACTAGATAGTCAGGACCCTTCAGACTAGATAGCAATCTTCAGACTAGATAGTCAGGACCCTTCAGACTAGATAGTAATCTTCGGACTACATAGCAATGTTCGGACTAGATAGCAATCTTCGGACTAGATAGTCAGGACCCTTCAGACTAGATAGTAATCTTCGGACTAGATAGCAATCTTCGGACTAGATAGCAATCTTCGGACTAGATAGCAATCTTCGGACTAGATAATCAGGACCCTTTAGACTAGATAGCAATCTTCGGATTAGATAGTAATCTTCGGACTAGATAGCAATCTTCGGACTAGATAGTCAGGACTAGATAGTCAGGACCCTTCAGACTAGATAGCAATCTTCGGACTAGATAGTCAGGACCCTTCAGACTAGATAGCAATCTTCGGACTAGATAGTCAGGACCCTTCAGACTAGATAGCAATCTTCGGACTAGATAGTCAGGACCCTTTAGACTAGATAGCAGTCTTCGGACTAGATAGCAATCTTCGGACAAGATAATCAGGACCCTTCAGACTAGATAGTAATCTTCGGACTAGATAGTCAGGACCCTTCAGACTAGATAGCAATCTTCGGACTAGATAGTCAGGACCCTTCAGACTAGATAGCAATCTTCGGACTAGATAGCAATCTTCGGACTAGATAGCAATCTTCGGACTAGATAATCAGGACCCTTCAGACTAGATAGTAATCTTCGGACTAGATAGTCAGGACCCTTCAGACTAGATAGCAATCTTCGGACTAGATAGTCAGGACCCTTCAGACTAGATAGCAATCTTCGGACTAGATAGTCAGGACCCTTCAGACTGGATAGCAATCTTTAGGCTAGATAGTCAGGACCCTTCAAACTAGATAGCAATCTTCGGACTAGATAGTCAGGACCCTTCAGACTAGATAGCAATCTTCGGACTAGATAGTCAGGACCCTTCAGACTACATAGCAATCTTCGGACTAGATAGCAATCTTCGGACTAGATAGTCAGGACCCTTCAGACTAGATAGTAATCTTCGGACTAGATAGTCAGGACCCTTCAGACTAGATAGCAATCTTCGGACTAGATAGTCAGGACCCTTCAGACTAGATAGCAATCTTCGGACTAGATAGCAATCTTCGGACTAGATAGTCAGGACCCTTCAGACTAGATAGCAATCTTCGGACTAGATAGTCAGGACCCTTTAGACTAGATAGCAATCTTCGGACTAGATAGTCAGGACCCTTCAGACTAGATAGCAATCTTCGGACTAGATAGTCAGGACCCTTTAGACTAGATAGCAATCTTCGGACTAGATAGTCAGGACCCTTTAGACTAGATAGCAATCTTCGGACTAGATAGTCAGGACCCTTCAGACTAGATAGCAATCTTCGGACTAGATAGTCAGGACCCTTCAGACTAGATAGCAATCTTCGGACTAGATAGTCAGGACCCTTCAG